ATCCAACCTTCCTCCTGAGGCCAGCTGCCATGTCATCATAGCACTGCTGCCTCTCGGTCTGCAAAGGCTTTTATTAGTCTTATAAAAGCACACTTCACACCCACTCCAGTTTAGATACAGCTTTTAATATGTATAGAGTTGGAGCTGATCAGTTCTAGGGGTCTGCCCAGTCATGTTATGGATACCATTTTCAGCGTGTTCACCCTGAGGATGTGAACCAATCTACTTAAAGAACAGAGACATGTACATGCAGGATCATGACACTGGTGATGGTTCAGCTTCAGGTATTTTCCCATTAAAAGTACAGTTGTACCTACCTAAAGCGTAGTTTTCCACTTGGAATGGGAAAACCGAGTATTTGGAATGCTTTATGGTCTTACTCAGACCTAGCTTCCACCTTGGGCTCTATATTGGGGAAACATGGGGTATAAGACAGACAAACAGATGGGATTCTATCCAACTAAGTTATATTCAGAGTAAACCCACTGAAATTAATGGACCTAGTATGTGTAGAACTAACATTGGATAAAATCTATAGTTTTGGTGCAGAAACTACATTTTTTATATATATATATATAAATTTTTATTGGTTTTCCAAACACATAATAAAAGCAAACAATAAACAAAACAAAACATACAAACATATAAACATGTATAATTTCATAATCTTATTTTCATGCACCTTGCTTCGCGGACTTCCCCATACCTCCCCTTTTCTGCATCCTTGTTTTTACCTTTCTTCAGCAACCCTCCAACTAATTATTTAATTCCCTTTCATTACATTCTTATTTCCTTAACTTATTGTTTACAGTTGCAATTCTCTAGGTGCAGAAACTACATAGGTTACCCTGGTGCGTGCCTGTTTCTGGCAGATGGATGAGGGGAGGTGCAAACCTTTTGATTCTGCTGGACCTCTCAGGGCACTGGAAAGCAACAAGGCCCCTCTGCACCCCCATGAATAGTCATCCCCAGACTTAAACAGAGAAAGCTTGTGTATGTAGAACCTGAAATACGATACAAAATGTACAGGCACTATTCTCCTTTTGGAGGAAAAACTTTACTGCTTCCCCCTTTAGTGTTTTATTTTCCCTCACCCCAGAAGAAATCCTGTGAATACCCTTGTATCAGTAGCTTTTGATACCATCAGCCATAGTATCCTTCCGGGATACCTTCTGAAGTTGGATTTGAGGCCATTGTTTTGCAGCTTTTCTGCCTTTTCCTGGGATGTTGATCTCATAGGATGGTGTTGGTTAGAACTGCTGTTCCACTCTGTGGCCATTGACTTGTAAGGAACCACAGGTTTTCATCTTTTCCCCAGTCTTGTTTTAATCTTGTTTTGATTATTTTTTGTGACGTACTTTATATTTTGAAGGCTTTTAAAAATACTTTGCAAAGGAAAAAGTGGACTAAAAACAAAAACTTAACTGGCAAATGCATGCTCCTCAGCCTGAGTTTGTTTAAGGAATAGCAGTTGCCTAACGGGACACGGGTGGCGCTGTGGTCTAAACCACAGAGCCTAGGGCTTGCCGATCAGAAGGTTGGCGGTTCGAATCCCTGTGACGGGGTGAGCTCCCGTTGCTCAGTCCCAGCTCCTGCCAACCTATCAGTTTGAAAGCACGTCAAAGTGCAAGTAGATAAATAAGTACAGCTCCAGCGGGAAGGTAAACAGTGTTTCTGTGCGCTGCTCTGGTTTCGCCAGAAGCGGCTTAGTCATGCTGGCCACATGAACCGGAAAAACTATCTACAGACAAACGTCGGCTCCCTCGGCCAGTAAAGCGAGATGAGCACCACAACCCCAAAGTCGTTTGCGACTGGACTTAACTGTCAGGGGTCTTTTACCTTTACATTTAACACTTGGTACCATATCATCCCCCCCGCCCACCGAAATGCCCCAACATGCCTCTTCCTCCTAGCACAAATTGAAACAGAATACTTTATAGTTAACACTTTTATGCTTGTACAACATCACTGTAAAAGCTAGTGGGTGAGATAATATCTTCTTTTCCTTCTTTTTTTGCTATGATTTCCCTCTCGTTCCAAAAGCTGGGTATCTTAAAAGGTAAAGGGTAAAGGGACCCCTGACCATTAGGTAATTTATATTTTTATATATAATATTTATAAATATAAATAAAGTCTGATAATGTTTCTGGACTGTATTTTCTTTCAGTCATAGTCTCTCTCTCTCTCTCTGCTCATCTCTTTCTCTTCTGCTTCTCTTCTTCCAGTAATCGTTGCTCGATGAGTTGGAAATAGATGAAAGATCTAAATAGTTTACAGTAGAAATGAGAGGTTAATTTACGCTCTGTTGAAAGTGATTTGACTTCTGGTTTGTTTGCCAATTGTCTGCATGTTGCAGAGCATGAGTTTTGTAATCCAAGCTCTGCGGGAGCAGAGCTGTCTGTCGGCATTTCTCAGCTTTCAACTGAAGAATATTTGACCTACATTTGCAGAGTATTGATTTTATCTTCAGCAAATGCCTGTTATTAACTCTGTACACACAGACAAATGCATTGAAATAAAGAGTTCATTTCTTTCAGATATACAGCCGTACCTTGGAAGTTAAACGGAATCCATTCTGGAAGTCCGTTCAACTTCCAAAACGTTTGGAAACCAAAGCACAGCAGCTGCTGCTGCTGCTGCTGCTGCTGCTGCTGCTGCTGCTTCTTCTTCTTCTTCTTCTTCTTCTTCTTCTTCTTCTTCTTCTTCTTCTTCTTCTTCCTCTTCTTCTTCTTCCTCCATCCTAGCCATTTTTTTTAATTATTATTATTTTACATCCATACACAATCTTAGGTACATGTACAGCCTTAAATAATTATACCATTAAATATTGATTTAAACTTGTATTTGTACATGCTCCTTTCTTATAATTTCTGACTAAACAAAAATAAACAAAAGTAAAAAATCCAATAAACTAAATTGTATGAAACCAGACTTCCCGTCATTTCCCGATGTAAGTTACATTTACGACATTGAGTGTACTTATACTTCTTACCTTACTCTTACTATAGTTTCTAGTACTTTCTTATAACATATCGTACCATTTTTCCTTGCTTAGTAGTATTTAATTTACACAAGGGTCATTCAAATGCTGCCATAGATGTTATGTTGTTGTTATATTTTTGTAGGTATTTCTTGAACATATCCCATTTTTTCGTGAATGATTGTTTTGTATTTCCCCTTAATCTGTCCGTCAGTTGAGCCAATTCTGCATATTAAACTTATTCTGCCATTCCATTACTGTTGGTACTTTCCCCCCTTTCCAGTTCGATGCAATTAATAATTGAGCAGCGGCTGTTGCATATAAAAAGATTTCTCTTATATTTTTTGGGATATCACTGCCTAAAATTCCAAGTAGAAATGCTTCTGGCTTCTTTGCAAATGTTAATTTAAAGATCTTTTTCATCTCATCATAGATGAGGTTCCAGAACTCTTTAATTTTTCCTCTGGTTTCCCCACACCGCCAACATTTGTCTGAAATATTTTTATACATTTTGGAGAGCTTTGATGGTGTAAGGTACCACCTGAACTGCAGGAAGCACAGCTTCTGATTCGCTGCAGGAACTTCCTGCATCAAATTGGAAGACCTGTCGGATGTTCAGATTCCAAAAATAGTTCACAAACCGGAACAGTCACTTCCCGGTTTGCGGGGTTCGGGAGCTAAAACGTTTGAGAACTAAGCTCTTCAAAAACTAAGGTACGACTGTACAGTATAGGTGTTAGTAATAAAAGTATTTCATATTTTTAAACAAAAAAGATCTGTATTTCAGTGAATTTGCTTGTGTGTTGAGAGTTCATAGGCTAGCATAAGATTACATTGCAAAGCACAACATCAGATGATAGCACAATGCTATACAGTCTTATTAACTTCAGTGGGGCTTATTCCTAGGTGATTATGTCTATATAGGATTGATTTGTTTGCTCCAGGTTGTTGCAGTGCACCATGACTAAGAAGAAGATGAGTTCCCAATTTTTGAAATACCTTAGGAGCTAGATAAATTTGTTCCAGAGCTTGCTTCTCCTCCTATCTCAGGGTTAGCTTCTGAACATCTTCAAAATCATTTTTTTACAGCCATATAAGCTAGTGAATCTCTCCCCAATTTGGGATAATAAATGGAACAGTTCATATCATAACTGCCCTTATGCAATACTGTGTACATGTATGGTCAAACCTTTTTCAAAAGTGGCACTGTAGAACTGGAAAAGGTGCAATCAAAATTTAGCAGAGAGCTGGAGCACTATTAGGTAAAGCTAAAGCATTTGGGGCTTTTTAGTTTAGAAAAATACATCTAAATGCTAGGGGTTTATAACAACAAAGCAGAACTTGTGATCTTCCAGATGTTGTTGGACTACACCTCCCATCACCCCAACCACAAGTTATGGCTAAAGACAGTGACATCCGGAAAGCCACTCGTTCCCCAACTCTGGTTTATAAAATTATGCATGGTATAAAGAGGATGGATACAGATAAGTGTTATTATAGAACCCCCAGTTTTATTTTCAGTTCCATTGCTAATACAGGTGCTCCCCCACTTACACAGGGGCTACGTTCCAGGCCCCTGCATGCACAAATGAAATCACATAAAGTGGTGTGCACGGGGAGGAGGGGAGGAGACTCACACGGGCTGCAGCCCGGCTGGTCCCAAATCTGCCTGCTTGCCTGCCTGCCTGCGGAGAGCCAGAAGGGCCAAGAAGGGCACCCAGCAGAACTGGTGTCAGGATGGGGGTGCAAACACAACAGAGGTGTGTGTGTGTGTGTGTGTGTGTGTGAGAGAGAGAGAGAGAGAGAGAGAGAGAGAGAGAGAGAGGCTGTACACTCTAGCACGGGGTTTGGCTTTTTCTCAGCAGGAGCACATTCAGCTGGTATTTTTACTGAGCGCTTCCCCACTACCCTAAGTTTTCTTTCTTGCTTAGTCACTGCTAATCCATATAGTTAGTGACCAATTTAAACTAAGTTTATGCCTTAATGACATGGGATTTGCTTTGTTGTGTTTCTCTTGCAGTGGAATCTGGTGTGTGATGATGACTGGAAAACCCCCTTAACTACATCATTGTTCTTTGTGGGTGTGCTGCTTGGATCCTTTGTATCAGGACAGCTCTCAGACAGGTAAAGTACACAGTCAGCTGGCTGCCCTAGGATTTTCGCCCTGCACTTTTGAGGGAGCAGGATCATGTTTGGTGTTTTCAATTCCAGCTGTGAACCAAAATTAGACGTACGCAGAAGGCTTCAAATAGTGTGCCATGCTCAGTGTGAATTTCCCCTTTACTTTCTAGACTCTTTTAGGCATGCCTCAGTAAAAAAAAGAAAGACACATACTTCCTTGACTGCTACATCTTATTTATTTATTTAATAAAATTTATACACCACTTGATTGTAAAAAACCTCAAAGCGCTTTACAAGTCTTACACATGCATATGAGGAAGAGACGGAGACTGCCAGTGTACCATGCTGTATATGGGTATTCATTCTTGCCTACAAAAAGTAAATAATAGTAATAATATTATGCAACCTGTTTATGCCAGTACTTTCAGATTAATTTTCACTTCCGTAAAAGGACACTGTGAGTATGAGTGTAACACAGGAAAAGGAAATAAAAATACACCCGAGCCAGGATGAAGATAAAAGAAAAAGGATTGTGGTAAACCATTGCTGCAAGGTTTTCACAATCAGTGTTACAATTTGGGCAGCAAAATGCTATTGTTATTTCTGTGATTGTAAGTTGTTTTCAACTCTTCAAATATTCTGTTTTAATTGTTGTAACCTGCGCTGGGATCTTAGAAAGAAGGGCAAGTAATTAATTATTGTGAATTCTAATATTCTGGACATGTTGCCTTGAGAGGCTGTGATCTTGAGGACATAAGTAAAAGGAAGTGTGTGCTGAGCCCTTGTTTTACTGGACTTTTTTTGTTTGCTTAATCTCCCCCCCCCCCCAATACTGTTCCCTGGTGGGTTCCAGAGGCACATTTACAAGGGCAAATAATGCATCTGGAACTTCAGAGAAACTCCACAGAGGCTATTTCATTTAAAAACAAAGTTAGTACAATACATGTATTTGCATGTAGTTTGCTCCTTGTGTTGCTGGACAAAGGCAATCTTTGCTTTCTGTCATTTCTATTAAAACCCCCAACAAATTCATGCATGGCATAAATATGTCACCATGTTCTAATCAATAATGCAAAATTCATCCTGTGCTTGCCACTGGATGTTCCATGGCTGTAGATTTTCATCTCTCATCAGGAGATAATGATAATGACATGCTGCCACCATGTGTTCATCTGCTAAGTAAGGCAAATCCAGATTATTTAACTTTATCAATTGTAAAATTATTGTGACATCAGCTGATACTTAAAATACTTGTTATCTGGTTATATCTTGCTTCTCTTTACTAAGCATCACTCCAATTAGACAGAATACAGAAAACCCCAGAATTTTGTCCAACAATATTTACATAATTTCAATGGTTTAAAGCAAAGGTACCTGTAGCTGTGCTGCCTCTTGGTGTGATGTGCCTAATGAGTTAATTGCCATTTTAATTTGCAATTAGAGAATGCACAGGACAAATTGGTGGTGGTCAAGCTTTATTAATTTGAGTTCAAAGAATAGTCTACATCATCATCATCATCATTATGACAAGCTGACCCCATGGGTGCAACCCTGCCTAATTTTTGTACTCCCCCCCCAAAAAAAAAAGATTCTGCTAAATCCCTGCTTTTTATAACATCTTGCCTGATGCAGAGTTCTGGAGAACTCAAAAGCTTGCCACATTTTTGTGAGTTGTTGGTTAATCCTTGGCATCCTTCCAGGGGGGACACACCCATGTGGTGGGCAGGACCAGAAGCAAAAGTGGGCAACATGTAAATTTTACCTTTGCATATAATAGTAGAGTTTTTACACACACTCGCATGCCCTACTCTATCTTGCATCCATGCAAGCAAAAAGCATTATTGGAGTTCAGGGGCACACTCCAGCCAGGAAATAACCCTCAAAAGTTCCTGTAAAGTAGGGTTTCCCAAATTTGGATCTCTAGCTGTTTTTGGACTACAATTCCCAACATCTTTGACCACTGGTCCTGCTAGCTAGGGATGGTGGGAGTTGTAGTCCAACAACAGCTGGAGGGCCAAGTTTGGGAAACCTTTCTATAAAGCAGGACCATTGAAGGGTGTGGCTGGGGAAGGTGTGTGGCCTGGGTTGAGTCCCCATGGCCAGACAAAGGAGCCCAGGGAATTCCATTTGACTCTATGGCCCATCTCTGTACTAGGGTACTGTTTTCATTTTCAAAAGTGGGGCTCATCAAATGTCACAAGTCTGTGTTCTAGTGAAAAATAATGAACAGGTCATGCAATGTTGGGTGAATATTGCCAATATCTAAACTTTCAAAAGGCAAACTCAACGTTCCAGCCCCTCTCTGCAGGAGAAATGTCTGCTCCTTGAGTCTTAAGTTAAATCAACCTGCTAGGTTTCTTTGCTTTCTCTAGAATGCGGCAATAACAATATTGTGGATTCATTTACGGTCTTGCTTGTTTGTTTTTTGTTCTTTTCCTCAAAAGGTTTGGCAGAAAGTCTATTCTATTTGCAACTATGGCTGTGCAGACAGGTTTCAGCTTCCTGCAGATCTTCTCAACCAGCTGGGAAATGTTCACAGTTCTTTTTGTTCTAGTTGGCATGGGACAGATTTCAAACTACGTTGTGGCCTTCATATTAGGTAAGACTATTTCCACTCCATTGAAATGTCCTATTAGCATGGTAGTTTGAGTATGCATACTAATTTCACGTAGTAAGAAATGATTCTATGTAACTGATAGTTCTGTGCCTAAGAGCGTAAACTTCTTTTAGGAACATTTTGCAAAATTGATATAGATAAATTTGCCATAATCTATTCTGCTCTGTAGGTCAGGAATTTAGGTCTGGTTCTCAGGGCCAAACTAGATGAGATGATGAAGATATTTCTTTCTTTGGCCAATTGCAATTTCAGCAATGGCATGGAAATTATTTTTAGATATTTAAGTTTCCCAGTAATTTGGTGAGAAATGAGCAGAGAACAATTCAAAAACTCTTCCATCCCCCAAAATGTGGATGAACAATGAGTTGAATGGGCATTTCAAAAATGTTACATTCCTATGGAGACTAGAGTGGTATGCATCTGCAAAATTTGTCCAAAATTGTATTTTTAAAAAAAATCAGATTATCTCATCAGATAATCTCATCAGATAATTATCTCATTCAGATTATTTTAGGTGTTCCACGCTGCTGGTATTATTATTATTATTTGATTTATTTGTGTCAATAAGTAAACAAAAATAGCTTATGCTCCAAAATCCTTTATAATCTATAATCTAAATGGTGGTTGGAAGAAAAAGGGCACAAAGGAGGTAACCCTCAAGTAAATGGTTTACTTAGTAGAGGCAACCTCCATATAGTGCCATTTGAAAGTGGTTACCACATCAGAGCTGTTTACATATAGGTGCTTGTCTTTCCCATTTCAAACATTACTAAGTTTCTGTAAATTTGATTATACTGTAGTTTCATTGACACTTATTTAAACTTCTCCTGTATTATAGTTTTTATTGGGATGGGATATTTTAATCTTTCCCCACCCCCCAGAAAATGTTCAGCTTTGTTTTGAGGTGCTTGAAGCCTCTTGTGATGGATATAGGGGCAGAATGTTATTGTATCATGCATTTTAACATGTAGAAAGTGACTCTTTCCATTTTAAAAAATACGTTTCTATTTGTTGAGGCAAAATTGTGTTTCCTTGAACTGCCATGCATTATTTTTCTTGTACTGGACCAAGCTGGGCCAAAGGCAGCCGGGGTTAGCAGGGTTTCTCAGGCAGGACAGTGATGCATTCCTGGTGTCCCAACGCCAAGCATTGCTGCTGCTGACCAAGAAGAGGAAGAGGGAGGTGCAGGATGCTCAGCACCATGTGGGCACTGTGCCACACCATGCAGAGCTCCCAGCGCTTTGCCCCTCCCCCCTTGGTAAGTGGCAGTAATGCTTTGTGTTGGGAAGTCAGGTGTGCACCCCACCCCCGCCTGCACCATCCTGTCGACCACAGCTGACAGAATGGGAACGCTGAACTGCATTGCCATGCTTTGTTTTTATAAAATGGAAAATTTTATACCTGTGGGTTGGGTTTTTTAAAAAAATTAAACCCACTTTGTCCATGCCTCATGTCTTTGTGCATTTAAGTAAAATATGCTTAAGATGTCTCTCATTTTCATTGTCTCTCCAGCAGCGTAGACTGAATAACAATGCAATTCTGTTAACCGACATATTCCGTACTCGTACAGATTTTCCTTCCTCATTTGGTACCCTTTGCTGGAGAAATCTCAAAGGCTGTAGCCACAAATCCCAAACACTGAAGCAGGATTATACAGGGGACAGGAGTGGGGGAATAGGCAGGGAGTCATGCAGTTGTGGAAAGTTACATCCACTAACTACTGGAATCACTTCATTTGGACATGCTTTGAGTTCACACATGCTCATTTCAATAAACTGGAGCAATGATTTTCTCTTTTGGAGGAACTGTTGAATTTTTTGTACTATGGGGCACTTTTTTCAATCTAATAATCATACTGCACAGTTTGATTTATTTTCAAAACCTTTCCTAGGCTCATGTACCCTCTGTGCCTTAACACTGTGTTCACACACAAGCAAGCAACTTCACTTGTATATGTATGTAATTGTTTTTTAAAAGGCACTTCTTTTGTTGCCCTACTAATCCTTTATCAGGCTATTGAGTACCAACACCTCACCCCCCCCCCCAAATCACTGCCCAAAATTGTTTGAAGCACATCATGTTTTTGCCCCAGGTTTCTATTATGTGTTGTCATCTCCATGGGTTTGATCCCCAGCATGAATCCCAAGTTTGTGTGAGTGTGTCATTCCTTAGTGTTCAGAGGAAGACAGAGAATTCCACCCTGTTTTACCTTGGTCAAACATACCCACATTATCAGGCTGGCTCATAAACTTTAGTACTACAATTTCTTTATCACCCCTCCATGTTGGCAAAACTGTATTGCCACATATTAATTTTCTAAGCATCATCTGACTTCCAAGAATGGTTAGATTTATAACCTTTAATGACACTTTAAACAAAGTTTCATAAGGAGAATTAATATAAATTTCCTCTTGGAAATAAAAAGAGAGCATTCTTAAGGCAAGATGTTCTCTTTTCCTACTGCAATAGCAGTACTGAGGGCCAGGAAATAAAGTGTACTAATACTTTCTCCTTCACCCTGGTGGTATATAAAGGAATATTGCCACACTATCTTAATTAAGAAGGTGGTCAAAAAGAGCACCCATAACCCTTGTGTGCACATTCCTTCCACAACAAATGTTGTGCTGACTGCACTGTTCTTTCAAGCAATTTTCAAGAATTATTCAAGTTGCCAGAGTCTACTTGAAAATGACCTGATGTATATTTCTGGTAGCACAGCTCTTGAAAACCTTTTTGAGCATGCTCCAACTAAGACAGAACAAATTCCCGAAAGTATCTTCCTTCCTCTTTTTATTTTCTGCAGGGGCATTCAGCAATGAAGCAATATAATTTATGAAACGATTCCACACAATTCCAGCATTACAAACTTGTGTTTTTAAAATGTGTTTAAGGAGGCCACAAGTGCAGGAAATGAAGAGAAAAGGGAGAACTCAAATATGTACAGAAATCAAACAAATACATTTACTAGCTAAGAATCACGTAATATATTTTATAGAATGATTTGTATGCAACTTTGGAGCCTCTTTTCTTAATTCATTCCAGAACATACAAAGTTGTTTCATAATGTGTAAGGCATACTGCAAAATAGGGGGTAGGAGTGGGTGGGTGGATGAAAGAGAGATAGAGACCCGCCCCACCTCCCAAAAAATCCATCTGAACCTTCCACTTGATTTTGCTGAATTCAGTCTTCTTCATAATAAGAAATTGTGAACTGAAATGCAGGATTCAATGACAAAAACTCAGGTACCCATTGTTGAGAATCTTGTCACCAGTAAACATACTTGATTATTTCATTTTCCATAAACTGCTTCAGAGAAAAGTTCTTCACAGAACTGAAGAAAATATAAAATTTGCTGCACCAGTTGGTTCCTCACTCAAATCTTACAAGATTTCTGACTGGGTTTCCACAATGGCCTTCTTTCAGTCATGGGGTGGCCTATTGTGATGAGATACCTATGAAACGGGAATTTAAAGGTTAAACAATAATTAGATTCCCTAGGTTTGGCCGTCTTGATTTTTGAACTTGCTGGATGCTAAACTGGAAAAGGGCCTAATACAAAATAGTAATGTGACTTCATCTTAGAGAAGGAAACGCATAATGGTACAGTTTTATGAGTATCAATGGCAATTGTACTGTAAGAGATGATGTAGCATAGTGGCTAAGTGTGTGAAGTCCCTAATTCAAATCTTGCCTCAGCTGCAAACTCACTAGGGAGTTTTACACAATAGTATTTTCCCAGTCCCCAATATGGGAATAATAGTAATATGCACTTTCATTACAATAATAATATGGACCTTCCTTCCTTTGCTTGTTGAGGGAATTGCTGAGATAATCCCTCAGGTGCCTTGTGCTTGGTTTCCCTCTTTTGATGCAGCTGCTAGGACTGCACTTAGAAAACCCAGTTTTAAATGTGTGATTATTCCAATCAACTGTTCAAGAGGAGAGAGAATTGTGGAGGGGGCTGCCCTTAGTTACCTACCCTGCTTCCCCTCTCCACAGATTGACACATTTCTGCCTGCATTGGGGGCACTAACAACTCAACGGCCCTAACAGTTTCATGAATGTATACTTGGAGTGATGATGAAGAAGAATTTATTCATATCCCATCTTTTTCCCTGGTTTAGGCCAATGTATGTGAAGGACTTGGAATATTTTAAAGGACTACCTAAATGATAAGTGTATTTTTAATGACACTGAAGGTTCACCAAAGAAATAATTCATTAGCCCCCTTGGTCTTCACAGAATTACTGGCACCAGGAAGTTTCACCCTTCTTCAAAGCTTTCTGTTACAGATGGTTACTGGGGAATGTGGCAGGTGTTTTTATTATTCTTCAGAGTGAACCAAAGTAGTACTTAAATCTCATAAATTTTGATATTATAGCCCTTATTTTCTGTTTTTAAAATTAGGTTATTTTTCTTATTTAAAGCATTTAAAAGCATTTTTCAACATTTGCCGCAACCCCAGAATTTGTTCCAGTGAGTCTGGGCTCTTCAGCACTCACAGCAGAGCAGTGTCCCTCTGGCCTCCCAGAAGTCTCTGAAATTCAACAGGATGAGTCTGGCTGGCCCTGCCCCCAAGGCCAGGTGGAAAGGGCCTTGCAGGGAGCGGTCTTCAGCACTCACAGCAGGGCAAACATCTAGTCATTTTTGTTAGAATACTAGTTGTTGGGTTGAGATAGGATCAATTGGGACTCTGCTTGTATGACAGGGCTATCCTGACATCCTGACTCCCCACCAAAAAAGCCATCTGGGTCCCTGCAAAATCTTCTCCTGGAGGTCAGCAGCCCCTCTGGAGCCAAATGGGCTAGGCTACAATGCACTGCTGTAGGCTGCGAAAATTGGAGGAATTTGGGAGGGCTGCTTTTCTCAAGCAGCATTGCTTTTTCTCTTGCACAAGACATCTCTGGATCTAAGCTATGGTTACAAATGGAATGACTCTTATTTTCGTGCTCTACTTGTGAGTGTCTAGAGAGATATGATTTGCTGGTGTTGGGAACATAATAATGGATTATCTGAGCCTTGGTCAAACCTAGCAAAGGCAATTCTGATATTTTTTAATAGAGGTTGAAACAGATTCTTAATAATGTTATAGCTGTGTTTGATAATCCCCTCCCATTTCTTCCCCCTCCCCCAGCATTATATCTTATCTTACACATTAAACCATAGTTACAAGCATAGCTTAATTTTGGCCCATACTTCTCTTGAAATGTTCTAGGACAAATGGCTCCATTTTAAAGACTGTATTCATTTTTCAAAATGCAATAGAATATTTCGAGTAACTTTTTTTAAAAGAGGGGGGAGAGAGTTAAGATGCTAACCCACACTCCTTGTTTTGAACAGGCACAGAAATTCTTGGCAAATCAGTTCGTATTATATTCTCTACATTAGGAGTTTGCATATTTTTTGCAATTGGCTACATGTTGCTGCCACTATTTGCTTACTTCATCAGAGAATGGCGGATGCTGCTACTGGCTCTTACTGTACCTGGGGTTTGCTGCGTTCCACTGTGGTGGTGAGTCTTAATGTTTGAAAGGCGTTCAGCTTCAGAAATGTGTCATCTGTAGCTGATAGCCTTCAACTTGCATTGTTATATAACCAGCTGGAGGATTTTAACAGCCTTTGGTTGCTGTGGATATATTCCCCACCCCTGGCATTTTGGTTGCAGAGAACAGAATTGTCTTCAATGCCGAACATGTTCTTTACAGATAAATTATCTTTCTTTTTAGAGCCTGACTGACTCTGGTAGCTTGGTTGAGTGCATCCTGTGCCGGCTCTTCAATGCAATTTTGAAATTATTTCTCGCCTTTCTTATTCTTTTTCCTTCAGCTTTTTTTATTGCCTTTTTTGAATCTGACTAGATGAGCACTCTTGTACAACCTTTCCCTTTCTCTAATTTTCTTCCATCCCCATTTTCTTCATAGTTACAACTAAAAATTTTCCTGAAATATCTGTTATAAATTACATAAAATAGACAATTCACCTTGTTCCTCCAATAGTAGTCATAGAAAAGTAGTGGTTAAATCTATGTATACCTCATCTTCCGGATCACATTATATAATTTCACTTGGATACCTTCTGTATGTACAGTGGTACCTCGGTTTTCGAGCATATTGGAAGCCAAACGTTTTGGTTTTCGAATGTGCCTCCAAAGTCAAACAACTTCTGCTGCATTTTTTTCAATTTCTTCCACTGACTTTGCCGACCACCCTTTGCACCTCAGTTGTTGAACATTTCGGAAGAGGAACTGTCTTCCAGAACGGATTACGTTCGACAACCAAGGTACCACTGTATTTGATATATGTAGCCTTTTTACTTGTTTGCAACTCTGACATATCTAGGCATAGTGAGGGATTGGGGAAGGCATTGCAAGTTTATCTTTAGGGGGGAAATAGCTCCCTAAAAACCATCAAATGATCAAATGATTTTTAACACAGATGCTGAATCTAACTCAACTGCTAAAACCAGAAAAATATTGAAAACACATATGTACCTGTCTTGGACTGGGTGTGTATGTTTTGCTTGGTATTCGCTCCTGCATTACTGCTCAGTTTGGGATGTGATGTTAAGTTTATTCCAGCATCACCATTTGTAGCAGCTTAATGCTATGGCTATTTTCACTAGTAGGGTATTCAGATGGTGAAGTAGAAGAGCCACACTAGTTCTGCCCTCCATCTGCCCCTGTCTGCCCTGGTGCCCATGGATTTCCCCTGACAGAATTTTTTTCTCCAGTAGCTAGCAATATGTTGGCACTAAATATTTCAGTAATAATAGTTTTTTATTCATTCTATAGTTGGTGTCTGCTCCAAATAACATGAACAGGAGTATGGGCCTTTTTATTCCCCAACCCCACCCCACCCTCCAGCTAATATTTTTTTCATCTTCACTGAAAAAGCTGTTAAAATGATTCTAAAATGTCGTGTACAGCTCAAATGTTCTTGAGGGACATATCACATTTAATTTAATGTATTTATGCTAACTCATTATCCCTTGTTCTCTCAGTACCCCATAGTTCGCACACACACTCTTCCCTGCTTCCTTCACCACCGCAGGGCTCTCTGAATCCCCCCACCTCTTCTACTCCATAGCTAACACTCCTTTCCCCCCACTACCTCAAGCCTTTCTGCACTCCCAGCTCTGTTTCTTTCTTTTTCTTGCATTAGGCCTTTTGTTTTGTTTACACACACACTTTTGAATACCATTATCTGCTTTCCTTCTCCTGTTCCCCAAGTTCTGGGCGACAGAACATAAGGCATTCACTCTCCTGGAAATTGCACAGTGGTAATTAAAATGGTGGCTAGTTACAACAGGCTAGAAAAACTAGTACAGATTCTACCATGTAGACCTATTGATAACGTTATTTGACCATCGCTGCACCCACTTTTGATGTGCTTGAGTGAGGTGGGAACAGCTGCAAACAAGGGGTATTTTTAATTTTCTGAGAAGGATTCAGTCAACTTTTTAGATTTGTTGACTTGAAATAATGATTTGGCAGTGGCCTTAAAATTTCACTATTGTGAACACATCAGTTTCAGATGCTCTTAATATACAGGAGCTGTGCATTTTTAAAAGGGTTTTAAGAATCTGCTACCCTGTTAAGCAATTTTGCTTCATTACATTTTAGTCTACAGGGAATGTGTATGGTGTCTTTTCTTCACCCATACTCCATTCCTCCCAACCTCAGACTACTTGTTTGAGTTCTACATAGGTGTCCTCCATCTTTAATCTTGTCCACCAAAGCCCTCTCCCTAAGTTCCTGGTGGCTGATGTTTGATGTGTGTTTTTGCTAGGGAGAAACTTCTAAAATGAATTCCCCACTTTAGCTGCTGAAACAAAAACGTGGTTCAACCTTGGTCCCAGCTGCTTTCTACTCTGCTAATCAGTTTGCCAGTTTGCTGAAGGGTAAAGCTTACTGTTAGAGATTAGAATGTGCCTTGGGGTTGACCTGACTCCCTGAAATGTCCCTACTTTTTAGCCTTGGTTCCACAAAAATAAAATAGCAGATAGTTTTAATCAAAATCCTGCTAGCTACCATATGTATTGTTTCCTATGGTGGTTGCACTAGAGAGTTTTCCCTTTAGTTACTTCTTGTGTCTTCATATAGTTCTTCCTTCCACTTCTAATTTTCCTGCTTTTTATTCCTGCAAATCTTGAGTTGTTGAGCTCATAGCTAGCCAGTGTCCATATGATTCAGCAGCTACAAAGTAAGAGACCACATTTTATAATGGGCCACATTTTTGAAAAGGCTGTCACAGGTATCTGTAGCAAACTCCCAAAAAGAGGTACTCTCCTTTTCCAGTTCTGCTGGCAAAATAACATAAGATTGAAGGAGATGGGTTGCAGCAATCTGAGATCCAAGTGGAATTTCTCTGTTCCAGTTTGCCTGATACACTTTAGATGTGAAGCTAGTTTCTTGGAAGGTGGGTATTTATTGAAGCAGCTTTAGGGGTCCTAGAATGGAAAGTAATCTTGGAAGGTAATTATTAGACAGAATGTAGGGTGTAGGAAGCAGACTTTGGCTTGAGTGGCCATGTTATTATGCTCAGGAAACAAAATGCACTCTCTCTCTCCTCCCCCCCCTTTTGGAGGAGGGTTAATTTTGTGTTTTCCATGTTCACTACAACTCTTGGATTTTCATGCATTTCAGCCTTGGCCATTTCAACACTTGCTAATTCCCCTGTGTGTGTACACAAAACTACCCCTCTTAAGTGCTCTTGGATATTTCTCTTTTGGCTTTCAGTTGCAGTCATTTCCTTTACACTTTTTTTTCAAATCAATACAAATTTAAACAAATTCTCACTGAACTCGCTTCTGGCTGGTTATGTGGTTTCAGTATGAAAAGAGATTATATATATACATATATATATATTTAGAGTTATTTTGTCCATGACTTGATGAAGTAGCATACAAGAGAGTGGGGACCTATTATGCTTAGCTTGACGCTCAGAGAAGATCTGTGATGTGAAGTGAGTTATGCCAAACAGACAACTTCTCAACTTATTTTCATGTATAGATCTGAACTTGTAGAATCCTCTCTCAGTGAACAGCCTCTGTTTTAATATTAAGGTGATAAAGAGAATGTGGTTTGATGGTTTTTATAGGTTTAAGCAAATTAATTCACTTTGTTACAGAAATGCCTTACTACTGCCTTTTTTTATTATTTTTCTCTTTTGTATTAAACAAAAACATCCCTGCAGGCAAGCACCTGCATGTATAGGGTTTTGAGCTCTGTGGACTGGACGTTATAGGAAATAGGGAGCTTCAGACCTCTTGTGTCTCCATCCAGCCCTTTTGCTCTGAATGTCTGTATGTATTAGTCACCCCATAACATACATTCTCTGGGCAACATTTTAATTTATATTTTATTGTATTGTATTTTCTTTATTCTTTGTAAACTGCTTTGAGACCCATATGAGGGGCAAAGTGGTGTATAATTTAAAATAAATACATAAATAATAAACGTACGATAACTTAAGTTTAAAATAAAATACAACACGAAATATACTAAAGCTCATGTTCCTCAAAAGTTTGCAAGGAGCTGGATGGGAATAAGGGACATGCACATAGACCTCCCATTTCCTGTCGGAGCTTGGTTCTCCTTCTGTGCACATACGGTGGGGTTTGGATAGAGGAACCTGTGCATTATACCATCAGGATTCCTGAACAAGAAAGTATTGCGCTCATGAAATAAAGCTGTTGTGAAATTCTTTCCTCTCCCCCCTTGGTTGCTTGTGGAAAATCAGTCCTATTTTATATTGGTTAAATTACAGTGCAGACCAGTTTGTTTGCAGCAGAAATCTAAATACTTGTTTGCTACAGTGTGACATATTTGTGTCTGGAAATAAGCTCCATTGAGCTCAGTGGGGCATGCTTCTAGTAAATATGGCCTGGATACTATGCTTAGTATTACTGTGTTTTGAATTTACTATGTTTAGCATTTAACAGTTGCTCTTAATTAAAACTAATGTTTTTATCTTACTTTGGGGACATTTTGGTTGAAAAGTGGCATTTATGCATTTTTTTAAAGTACGTGGGAAAGATGGTTCTTTTCAAATTCCCATTGGAAATGTATCTATAAGTTGATACCGTACAAAAGCCCCTGACATGAGATCAGATCAAAGTGCACTTGTGAGAAACTATACTTTTTTCTTTTATGGTCATGAGTGGCCACCTCATTCTTTATCAAGCCTTCTAGAGATGGCAGACGTGCCCTAACTCAGTGATGGAACACTTGCCATGCATGCAGAAGGTCTGAAGTTCCTAGACAGGGATAGGAATGTCCCCTAGCTGATATTGTGAAGAGCTATTGCGAGTCAGCATGGATAATTACTGAGCTGGATGAACCAATGGACTGACTTGGTATAAGGCAGCTTCCCATGTTCCTTTTCACAGATTTAGAAAAAGCTTATGCAGTGTCTACCAGTAGTATTCGTCCTTAACATTCCAGTCCCATAAATGCCTTGGGTGTTAACCCTATATAAAGTTCCTAAGCTTTGCAAGTATTTACAACTGTTACCTGGCCAATTAATGGCCCATAGAATATCATGTAAGGGGAAAGCCTTGCTTTGGTCCATACACACACACACACACACACACACACACACACACACACTGTGTGGCACCACCCTACCGCATAAGGAAGGGGGAGCAAGAGAACCGGTGGCTGTGTAGGGTTCAGATCAGTTCTTTGCCAGAATAGAGGAATGGGCCGTTTTTTTGTGCCAGCTTATGATGACTTCTGTGAACAGAGGAATCCTAGTGAAGGAACAAGTAGTGTTTTGGGGTATTATCTATGAACAAATCAGCAAAATAGAAAACAAATCCATAATGATCCACAGGGATAAAAACATCTTTCTGTTGTCAAAATCTTAGAAAGTCCAAATGTGAAATCCTAATATTTGGTTTGCACATTCTATATATTTCATCTCTGTTATAAAGGAATTGACATTTACATTAATATCTGAGTATTTGGAGAGGGGGGGAAACAGCAGTTTCTTATCATTCAAAACTTTCTACAGATACTAGAATATCTAATTTCTGAAGTGTTTTTCTGTAAAGAGGGACCATTTCCCCTGTGAAAGAAAGCAATGCCACAACTTATGAAAATGATATTTCAACCTAAATGAATAGTGAGCATGTACTTGCCTTAATCACACACACAGTTCCTGGCTAACTTCATTTGGATTCTGCTTGAGAAGCAGCCATGCCCACAAGATGGCACTACTAACATTTCCTCATTTTGCTAAATTCCTGCTGCAATTCAGTTTTGCAGGTTTTTGTGCCACTGCAAAGAATGCCCTCAAAATGTCAAAGCAAGCTATTCCTCCAAATTGTAAATGAGCATTGATGTGTACACACGCCATGCCCAAAGCATTTTTTTGAACTATGATTCATTTTTTTAAAACGTATGTAAGCAAGAAAAAAGCACTCACGAAGCCTGCTTCTACATTACATCTGTACAGTTACCATATTACTAATGTTGAATCAGGACCAGCATCACACTACAGATATATTTCCAATAATCCCTGCTGTAAGTGGGGTTTGCAGTCTGCGCCAATCCCAGCTAGGTTTGCCGTCAGCCCCTTTTGGAAGGTATCCTCAGTTGCAGCTCAGCCTAACTTCGAGCCAGGCTGCAAAGGAAGGAAGAATTTGGAAGGCCCTTAAGAGTGCACTCCCAAGTCTTTTCTTTGAAGTTGAGTCACCTGATGTCACAACCTGAACTGTTGGACAGGTGTGCCTCCCCACTCACCTGCCAAAGTGACCCGCAGGAGATTGGGGAGTTGAAGTTCTGACTGCTGGATGGATCCTGTTCTCCACCATTGGTATACAACCTTAGTAATGGTTGTTGTACATTAAAGCTGCTGTTTAAACACACTTTCAGTTTGACTGAAATGTAGTATTATTAATATTGAGGCAAATGTGCTTTAGAACCAGACTATTTGGCTTTTCCTTTTACATGGGTCACTGGTTTGATCCCCATATGGGACAACTGCATATTCCTGGATTGCAGGGGATTGGACTAGATGATGCTCAGGGTCCCTTCCAACTCTACACTTTGATGATACTCTTCTAAAGCATTGATCTGCTCCATACCATTGCTGAAACAGATCTGATTGTTTTTATTTAGCATTACATTAAACAAGGAATACCTTGAATATTTACCTTTTTATGATTTGTGACATATAAAACATAGCCATGAGGTAAGAAGAGTCTGGCTCACCTCACCCTCATGCACCTTTTTGATATGAAATACAGACCTCATTCCCTGCATAACACACAAACAGGAGAGACATGCATAAAACACACATAGCCTGCTCAATCATATCTACAGCTGGTGCTCAAACTCCAACTAAGGAAGTAATTGGCTTACAAAGTTCCTTTGAACCAGCAAGTTCATGGTTTTAAAAATATCAGCTTGATTATTTGACGCTTGTTTCAGGCTCATTCCTGAGTCTCCCCGGTGGTTGATCTCTCAAGGAAGATTTGAAGAAGCTGAAATTATTATTCGAAAGGCTGCCAAAATAAATGGTGTTCCAGCCCCAGCAATACTTATAGATCCTGTGGAGGTAAATATTTCCATGTGCTTGACTACTTTGTGATCCTTCTTTGTAACTGTTTCAAACGGGTTTTGTGGTTACAATAAGCCAGTATAGTAAACAAGCCACAGCTGGAACATTTGTCATACTAATAAGTAGTAAATATGTGCCACTGGCAGTTGATGGCTCATGCAGTCCTTACATTTATTATTACTTTCAGGGCTAGCCCACCCATGAGGCAAGGTGAGGCAATCGCCGCCAGACATCAGGATCCCCAGGGGCAGCAGATCCTGATGTCTTTTTTTCTTCCCTGCCTTGTTCCCTCACCCCTTCTTCCCTGGCAGAGAGAGGGGCACTATTTTAGGGTCTTCCTCACCTGTTAAAATGTCTTGGGCCAGCTCTGATTACTTTAGCAGCAAGAACTCTCTTAATTTGCTGAAAGATAGGTGTGTCTTGTTTGCCTGTTCTTTGTGGCAAGATCTTTGGATGCTTTCAACAAAGAAGTAAAAATAAGGATCTCAGTTTGGTGGCCAATCATTAGCTTTGAAAAATATTTTCACTGAGATAAAATGGCTTTTAGCTGAGATAAAATGGTTTTTATCATTAGATTATTATTTTTTAAGTGGCAGCCTGCGACTTTCTAACCTGTTGCTAATGTGTTAGTAAAATAACTCACTTAAATTCCCTTAGTCTCTGAGCAGTGTTGTAGAAACATGTGCAAGGGCCAACTGGTTGCTCTAGTCTGCTATGGGCAAAGGAAAACAGGTCACCTGATTCCATGTGGCATCAAGTGATTGACAGGTGGGCCGTCCTGCCAGCCTATCAGAGTTGGCCCATGAAGGGTAGTGATAAGGACCTGACCCACTGGCTGGACCCAGTTCCCCACTCCTAATTGAGTTGAACTCATCTAGCTTTCTACTGTAAGGTAGCTTTCTAACCTGTAACCCTCATCTGCACCTTACGTTGATTTCTGAACTTGGTTCCACCAATGGCTTTACTATTGCTAAAAGAAAAAGGCAGAGCTGGACAATTCTAGCCTTGTGTTCATTTTACACATAAAATAGGTAGCTACATACTGCAGTGAACAACAGAATACATTTGATAACAGGACCACTACAAAAGGGGAAGAAATCAGACTCAGAAATGTAATGGTGTCTCAGAACTTCCCTTAGACATATGATAGTGGATTACCTGTATCTAACAACTGGTTTCCAGCTAACTTGAATCCTATTTCATGACTTCAGTTTTTTTGCACCACCGCCCTGATCACAATTGTTTCCCATTTTGGGTACTGAGGGCTTTTAAGCTTGTTTTGTTTTTGGGAATCATTTTCACTTTCTTTCCCCCCACTCCTAAGATACAAGATATGAAGGCCAAGCAGCAGCAAGGATTACTTCTGGACTTGTTCAGAACCCGAAATATTGCAACTATCACTGTGTTTTCTCTTCTCTTGTGGTAAGTGTGTGTATGTTTCTAAAGCACATAAGGATCAAGGGAATATGGACACTGCAAACCATGTATGAACTGAGTTGTTCAAATTCCTACCTAAGTGTTTAAATAGCAGGTTTAAATTCAACATACATTATTTTGCGAGTTGCTCAGCAGTCTACTGCAATTGTGGGAATATTTAGTTTCTACATGTTTCTAGCCTCTGCGATATTAAATGGATTCCTTATGAAATTGAGGACAGTGATGGAGCTACTCCCTTAATGCATGCAGAAGGGGCCCAGTAACAACAATTATGTCTGGCAATGTTCAATAAAAGAAAAACAGTCAAGGAAAATAGTCTTTTTAAAAACCAAAACAAACCTAATAATTGCCCACTAAAATTCTTCATCCTGGCAGGTCAAATACCTATCAGAATAAAAATGTCTTCACTAAAAAGCAAACAGCTGAGACAAACGAAGAAATCAAATGGGCCTCCCAGGTCAGGGAATTCCAAAATAGCTGCTTCCTTGTTCTTTGCACTAAAACTACTAAACATTCTTGAACAAGATGGAAACAAGAGGAAAAAATGCACCCGCTTGAGGTACAGTAAGTCCACAACTTACACAGGGTTTACGTTCTGAGGATCGTGCCTAAAGCCAAAATCACATATAGTAGAAACCCACTGGGTTCAATGGCAGGTGGGATTGTCAAAATAATTTCCTGCCTCCTTTCTGCCCACCCACTTCTTTTTGGCATGCATGTAAAGCTGAATGCAGACAAGTTAAATGTTGTGGGCTTAGTATACTTAGCTTACTAAATGGCCATTAGGAAATCCAGACCATTTTGAAGATTCAGAGCTGTTACTAATGAAAGCACTTCTTACAAAGAGCTGTAACAAATGCTGGCACTGCATGGATATGGGTAACTGAGTCAGATAATGAGTATCTATTAGACCACATTTCATCTTCAGAGTAAAGTCCCCTCAGTTACATAACAGCTGCAGAATGGCCACAAAAAATAATAATTCTCCCTGCTCATGAAAATCTCATATAGTGCAACTCAGGCCTAGAGAATCTTTGACCTGCCACATGTTGTTGGATTACAATTCCCATCATCCCTGACCATTGGCCCTGCTGGTGGGGGCTGATGCACTTGGAATCCAACAACAGATTCTCCACTCCTGGCTTGAGACCTTGGGTAACAGAAACCTGATAAGGTTGCTACCTTCCTACATATGTCAGGATTAAAAGCTAGAAAAATTCTTTCCATGGCTGGGCCTAGTATAGAGGCTCTTATTTAAAACCTCTTATTTCAAACAAGAAAATAAAATCAAAGCTATCAAATGTCCAATGTGTCTTAGCTATACCTTTTGGAGGGGCAAAATTCTGTAAATGTTGTTACTACTTGCCTCTGACTGAGAGTAGTGCTCAGTGACCTTTGGTCTGATTGGTAAGGCAAGTGTTATGCTTGTCTTTTGGGATGAAAGCATTTTATTTTATTTATTTTTAAAATGTGTAGAGCACTGTATCTGAAAATGGATTTCAGGGCAGTATACAAAAAAGTTTAAAACCACAAATACATTCTAAAACAAAGTGTTGCTACATGGAATGGTAGCGTAGAAAATAACTAGCTATTGTTGTATTGGCTAATACTTTGAACATCAAGGCACATTATTATTATTATTTCTCCCTTTCCTATTCCAGGATGTTTACATCTATTGGCTACTTTGGCTTGTCACTCAACACCCCCAATCTACATGGAGATGCCTACCTCAATTGTTTCCTGTCAGCAGTAATTGAGGTTCCAGCCTATGTGATTGCTTGGCTTCTGCTCCGAACCTTACCTCGGCGTTATTCAATAGCTGGCACCCTTTTCTTGGGTGGAGGAGTTATTCTGTTCATTCAACTGGTACCTCCAAGTATGAACACCCACCAATGCTATAGATGTGTTGATATTTGACCGTACTGTGCAAGGCAGGGGTGGAGAACATTTTTCATTTCAATGGCCACATTTCTTTCTGGGCAACCTTCTGAGCAACAGATGGCATTGTTTAGGCTGAGGCAAAAGTGTGAAGCATAAACTTGATATATTGGGCTACATGCAATGCTCTATCCTCCATCTGGGCAAGCAAGAGGCATTAACAAAGTTCAAGGACATATTCCAGGCAGATAAAAACACTTAAGGTTGTGCAGCTGGGCCAGTGAAGGCTGTGGTCAGGGAAGTGTCCTGAGAGCCACACATAAAGGCATGGAGGGCCATATTTGGCTCCTGGGCTAGGGTTCCCCACCCCTGGTGCAAAGACTCTGCTAGAGGATTGGGTATTAGAAAAGACCAACTTGAGCTAAGTATCCTTGAGTTTTGTTTAGCTCCATTATCCTAGTCGCTTATCCATGTTGCAAGTTAGATTATGGACTTGCTTCCTCTGTACTTTAGGACGTATCATCATGCATTTATTCTAACAGGGATTTGAAGCATGAAAGCTTCACTTCCTAGTCCTATCTATGTGCATAAATGAAAGCTATGTAGCTCAGAGGTTGACTGGACCAGGTCCTTGCCTTCTTAGTGCCTTCATTTACTTGCACCCATGCAGAAAACGACAAGTCTCTCTGGTTGGTAGTGATGGTGCAGCCTTCAGATGTTTTGAACCACAGCTCCCATCAGCCTTGTCTAACTCTGGCAAAGGTTAATATCATGGATGAAGGCACAGCTCTTAATGGCCCTGCCTATATAACAAATGTGCAATGTTAAATAGTTAAGAAACTTATTTGGTGCATTTAATGCTATTATGGTTAATTAGATTTTCTACATTTAGCTATTGGAACTAGTATACCTGCAGCTTAGTCTCAGACCTGTTGTATAAATCAAGTATTTACAGGTACCACTAACCAACAAGGCATATATGCTGACATGCTGCAGTGCTCTTAGCAACATTTAAAACAGTTTGTAGGATAAGTAAGAATAGTTGGGATAAAAGGAGGATTTCTGGAAAGGTGGTGAATAACAATAGAGGTCTTATGACTCTTTCTGTTCCTCTGCAGACCTCAACCTCCTGTCTGTTATCTTGGTGATGTTGGGAAAATTTGGCATCACGTCTGCCTTCTCTATGCTTTATGTTTACACCGCAGAGCTCTATCCAACCATAGTAAGAAACATGGCCGTAGGTGCCACCTCCATGTCATCCCGTGTGGGCAGCATCATTGCTCCTTACTTTGTTTACCTTGGTAAGAAGTGTCCTATCATTTTAAGAATCTTGCAGTTCACTTTTCTGTCATCTCTAGGTAGCTGTTGCATAAGTTCAATTCTGACTGCCTTATCCGTGAGTCACTGCTGGCTTCAAAACACTTACCCTCAAACTTCCAACATGCAGTAGTGTAATTATTATTTATTATGCATTTGAGCTACGTTTTTAAAACAACCTTAACTTCCCAGTTCCCATCTACCGTATTTTTCCCTCTATAACACGCAGATTTTTTCTCCTAAAAAGGAAGGGGAAATGTCTGTGCGTGTTATAGAGCGAATGTGTGGTCCCTGGAGCCAAAAAATCAGACAAAAATCGAATCGCGCTTCACGGAGAAGGGAAACCTGAAAAGAGGAAGTGGCTGCTTTCCTGCATTCTGCCTCAGGGTCTTACTGCCCACCCTCCTCTGTTTCGTTGCTGTGTTTGCTGAAACGGAACAAAGAGCAGGGAAAGCCCCTCCCCTCCAGGCAAGCAGAGTGTCTTTCTTTCTAATTCCTCTCTGTGCTCCGGTGCTGCTGGGGGAGAGGGAAAGCCCCTCCCCTCCAGGCAAGCAGAGTGTCGTTCTTTCTAATTCCTCTCTGTGCTCCGGTGCTGCTGGGGGAGAGGGAGAGAGAGTGGGGGAGGGAGAGGGAGGGGGAGGGAGAGGGGGGAGAGAGGGGGAGGGAGGGAGGGAGAGAGAGATGGCTGGCTTGGGGGGAAACTTTTGCCTTTCTTTCCTCCCTCCCGTTAAATCCCTCTCCTGCATTCTTAGCCAGCTGCTTCTCTGCACACCCCTCTCATGTCCCTTCTTTGTTTTTCCTTCGCTCCCCACTTAAAATGTGGTTACAAAGCATAGATCAACATGGATCCTCAGGATCTTTGCATTGTGTCACCCCAAATTCACCATCAGATCACATAGCATGTCCATGGCTACAGCCTGCACCAAAAAAAGCACGCACCCACTGTTGCCTGGGGCTGCAATGGTGCAAAAACATGGTTAAAAAGCATGGATCCACATGGATCCTCAGGATCTTTGCATTGGGTCACCCCAAATTCACCATCAGATCACATAGCATGTCCATGGCTACAGCTTACACCCAAAAAATCACGCACCCACTGTTGCCTGGGGCTGCAATGGTGCAAAAACGTGGTTACAAAGCATGGATCCACAGGAATTCTCAGGATTTTTGCATTGGGTCACCCCAAATTCACCATCAGATCACATGTCTGTGGCCACAGCATGAAGCACAAAAATGATACATCCACTGTTTCATTCAGAATGTTTATTCCCTTGCTTTCCTCCTCTAAAAATGATGTGCGTGTTATGGTCAGGTGCGTGTTATAGAGCGAAAAATACGGTAATTTAGGATTGTGAAACTGAATGACCTTAAACTAGGGATGGATAATCTGACAGCTTTGTTTTCACTTGGTTTTTATTTTTTTTAATGACCTTAAATTCAGTTTGTAACATTTTCACATCAGTTTGCTTTTTTTTTTAGTTCTCATGAAAATTCATCAGCATTTTAGTTCACATTTCTCCTAATATACATTTTGCAAGCAATTTCCCCTCATATAGTGCAATTTTTGATTATGCTTTTACCAATGTATATATTTTTATGCAAACTGAGTATGTATATATTTGTGTTCACTTTTTGGGGGGGGGTTGGAGAACTGCAAAATTCAGAGAAGTATGAATTTTGAAGGATAACCACATTTCAGTTTGCATATTGTTTCAGGAAGTCCAAATTGGCTAATTTCATGCTAAAATATGAAATTCTCCCCACCCACCCCCACCATATCTTGAAATATTCACTGTATTTTAAGCTAGCCTACCTCATAAGAACATTGTTGAGGATGAAATGGATAAACCCATGCATGCTGCCTTGGTGTCCTTAGAGGAAGGACAGTATGCAAATATGATAATTAATAATCACTTCAGTTCTTCTGTAACTATATTGGAATATAATCTAAACTTTGGAACTTCTGTCTCTCACCAGGTGCCTATGATAGATATCTACCTTATATCGTCATGGGCAGTCTGACTGTGCTGATAGGGATTCTCACCCTGTTCCTCCCAGAGAGTTATGGGAATCCTCTGCCAGAGACGTTTGAAGAGATGCTGCGAGTTAAAGGGTAAACACATTTCAGTAAAATAAAGCTCCCCCTTGCATTGTATTTTTGCAGTCATGGAGTATAATGAACTTTTGGCCTGGAGGCAAAATGTCAAATCTACTTAGATACTATGCAAGCTTCAACAGGATGCTAGGAGCTAAACCAAACCATAAAGGAAAATAAGTTTGTTTCTTTAAGGTTCTTATATACTACTAGGTACTTTGCCCCTGCTTGCTCTGCTAACCAATCCCAAATGAACACTCCAGAATAATAGAATTGTAGAATTGGAAGGGACACCAAGGGCCATCTAGTCCAACTCTCTGCACTGCAGGACTCTCAGCTAAAGCATCCATGACAGATGGCCATCCAACCTCTGCTTATAAACCTCCAAGGAATGAGGGAGACCGTTCCACTGTTGAACAGCTCTCAATGTCATAATTTTTTTCCTGATGTTTAGAGCATCTACTTCCCACCCCAGTCAACTACTAAGCTTGCTTTTCACCATCCTAATTCTATTTCTGAAGCCACTTCTCTCTTTTATTCTCCATCTCCGCTTTTTACCCCATGACCCTACTGCATTCTTCCCCTCCTTTTGTGGAACGCCCCCCTTGAACACGACCCCACCCATGGTAACCTCTGGCATCTTCCTCCTCCCAAGCATTTAAACTGCAAAGCACCCATCTTACTTTCTGCCCAGTTATGAAGCCACCATTGCCTCCTTTCACCAGAGGTACTGCCCCTCCCCTAGCACCCCATACACCCCAATCATGACAATAATACTACTATTAAGATAAACCAGTGTTACTGTTAGGGAATACAATGTTCAGATTGTACATAATGTATTAGAAATCACCCCAGAATTGGCCCTACTAAACATCTTCCAAGACCATAAGGCCCATTTACATCACAAAGAACTCATAACCCACCTGGCTTTCAGCAGCCAGAAACAACATAATCAGACACTGGAGAGACCTGTCAGGGACAAATCCAACTCAGTTCAATAGATCTTGCTTCCCACTAAGTGTGTTTAGGATTGCCTTAATTGGATTACAGATGCTCTTTGCTGAAATATGGATGCTTGGACAAAATTGTATTGTAGGAGGGTTCCTGTGGGGAAAATATAAACCAGTGCTTTGCTGTTTCTGTTTCTAATGTATGTAATCTCCTGTTTATTTTCAGATTCAGAAATAGAAAGCACACCTACAAAATAGGGAGTTCAAAGCAGAGTGAACTGAACTCCAGGACTATGAGAACATCGTTGTGATCATATATCTTTGCCTTTTACTGAAATGAACAACCAGGACTTGTTAAATTGCAACTATGAAGATAAATGAAAAAATTATTTACCATACTAGGCAGCAGTTGTCCTAATAATCTCATGTTTCAGAACACTGGTGTACCAAATGTGTGGGTTTTTATGCTAAGTCATTGTCAGCATGTATAAAGCTCCTCCATCTTTTTTTTCTTTCTTTTTTTGTGCCTTGGTTTTGGGGTTTGTTTTGTGAAGCCTTGAGCACTTTTTTTCATCTCCTTGGGATTTATGTAGTACTGTATGTACATTTTAAGAGCAGGCCATCAATGATGGTTGGACGAAGTAGAGGTAATTACTGTAGAATCTTCAGTTGTACTTGATGGCACATCAAGCTGCCCTGAATCCCATATTTCACTTTCAAAAGGCCCTTAAATAGCTGGATAGATTGTTTTAAGGAAATAAATGGTACTGAAATTAATGGAGCTGTTACCAGGAAGTACTTTGAGAACCAAGCTTCATTTTCTTACACTAACTGGAAAATCTTGAAAAGGAACAGAATTTTAGTAGACAACACTTTATCCCCAATAAATCATAGATGTAAAATTTTAAAGCCATTTTTGAAAATAGATGCATTCTCTTTAGAGTCTATGTCATTGTCAGGAGGTTTGTACAGAAAGCAGTACTGTATATCAAAGTACTTGCAAGTTTTATTCACTTCAATGAAGCCCAGGCCCGGCAGTGTTTCTGGAGACTGGGCCTTGCAAAAAAATTTGACAGTGCAACCGTGGCTGCAAACCTATATACATTTGTTTGAGAGCAAGGCCAATTGACCCCTTGGACTTATTTCAGAATAGATATATATAGGCTTCAGCTGAAAGCTTGCAAGTTGCATTTCCTATTGTTATGCCAAACACTCTTATTCCTCCTAAGTACCTAGCAAATAAAAGTTAGTTCAATATAATTGCTAAATTAAATTTTCTGTAGCAGATAAGATTATTGGAACTGCATACAAACCAACATTTACAGAGAGACACTGGTTTTTCTGGGACCAGTACTACTGAAAACCAGATCTTAGGTTGCACTTGTGCCATTCTGCCACAGAAATCCATTGTGAAGCTGGAATCTTCTAATTTTTTATATTATGCACACTGTAAATTTCTATATTTAGGACAAAGTAGAAGAAGTATTTAAGTAAGGGAAGACTTCATTACCTAAAACACGTTTTGTTGTTTCCTTAAGAGATTTTGAGCACATTTTCTGCTGAGAAATGAATATTGGTGAGAGAGTTAACAAGTCAGGTATTGATTGACATTGAGATTTGTGCCAAGTAAAGTTCATGTATAGATGGCAATTACCCACTTAACAGTGAAATTATCTGCTTGGAATATATATTAGATAATCTCCTGGTTTGTTGCCTCAGAATGAACAATTTCCTAGTGCAGATTTTGAGGACCTAGCCATATATACTAGCAGCCCTTTTGGGGGAATACCATGGTGTGTCTGCTTCCATACTGCAACTTCCACAAAATACAGTCCAGCTGAACTTAGAAGGATCAAAGACCGAAGTAGAGGGACCTTCCTTGTCTATTTTTAAAGCCTAAACTTACCAATGCACCAGAACTCCACAGTATATCGTTGCTATGTTTTAAATATGGTTAGAACCTGCTTCATGACATCACATCTAATCCATAATGGCAGGGAATGTGGCAAGGTGATCCTGTTTTGCAGGTTCTTGGCACCCAGTTCTCTAAAGGACTATAAAGATCTGGTGCACCACATTCTATATGGGTGATCACTGCCCTTCTTTAAACAGCAGGGGAGCAGCTGGCTATGCCAGAGTACTTAAATGGAAACACCTTTCTGATTTTGCAAGTGGCCTAACAAATGTTATTAATGTTGCAAGCCCAATATTTCACCATTGCAAAATTAGCCAGTTTTTTTCAGAAACAATTTTATTTGCCATATGAAAGCCTATACCATTGATACACCATTGTGCCAAAACAAGGTACTCCTTTATTTTCTGTGCATTATGTATGTGTACTTTTCTGGGGGGGGGGGTTGCCACAAAAAATATCCCTAGCCCCATGTGTAGCATGGCTTGGTTGTCTTGGTTGCTGGTAAGGTGGCCAGTTTCTGAGCCAGAGACTGTAGTCGTTGCTTTTATATGTAAATATTTGGCAACATTGTTTCATGGTCTTGCTCTGCAGCAGAAATTCCAAATGCAGTCTTTCTGATTAGGTTTTATATATATATATATATATGGAGCTCTTGATCCTAATAGATTTCTCAGCACACTCTTAACATCTGCAAAGGATAAAATTGTTTACATGCAGTTTGGCAATATGTACCATGGCATCTTTTTATGTATATATTTTATACAAAAATAATGGATTCTTATTCTGTTTTACACTGTTGTAACTGTCACTATTTCTAACATATACACTTTAATATCTCTCTATATATATTGTGGTATTTTTGTGGAAGACTTTGTTTTGCCAGTGTTTCTGTAACAATTTAAAGTTCTCTCAATTTTTAATTGGGCAAATTCCAATATAGCTCCTTAGGCAGTGCTTTTAAAAAATCTTTTGGAATCTTAAAACATGAAGCTGCACTTTCTAGAGGATTGTGATGTGATATAAAATAAAGGCCTTTTCAAAGGGACCAGTTCTGTAAAGATTCCCCCAATATTGCTTGATTTGACTAAAAGCTATTTGGGTATATTTGCCTTTTAAAGCATGGGTGATGGTTTCATAGATAATGAGATCAGTTATGTTACTAAAAGCTGTGACTGTCAGGGTCTGCTTGCTGCCATGCAACACGGCTACTGGT